AAGGCCGCATCATTAGAAAGCAAAAACCCGTCGGAACACTTGAAAAAACGCATACATCTGACCTCTGACTGAAAGCACAAGTACATAAGACATAACCGAGGAAAAACGATGCAAGGGAAAGGAACCGGTAGATCCGCCTGAAATAAAAAGTCATCCCAAAAAATCGCCTTTACAAGAGACATATTACAGTAGTGGCCATACTTTCTGCACATTATGGGATTGTCAAACAACTATGGACCTACTACCCATTCTAAGATTTCCTTTTAAACTTTACAAAACTAAATAGACTAAGAGGTGATAAGCTGGCCAAAATGATGTTAAACGTCTATAGTCACCTAGTTCGTTAATTCAAACATCCAATACTTTCCAAAGTCACAAGCTTATAGATGGAAAAGGAGAAAGACAAAAAAACACGGAATAGCTGTAATAGACAAATACCTAATGTTCCTAATCGGTATAATTTTCAATGTTTATACAGCTCTTTTCACCTAAGTGGTAAAGTTAACGGTACGACGCGCTTTGAATATACAGTCGAGGTATAAAATCGTTTATACTCTTTGAGAGAACGTTTCCTAAAATAGAAAATCTCAGCCTAAATATGGCAAAATGACAGTGACATATTTACAGGGGGAAAATCCGGTCATAAACTACGTCTATGAAAGGAGGACAAAATAATTTTCTAATAATTTTAAATTCGATTTTAACAATAATTTTCCATAAATTATAGCAAAAGTACACAAAAATAACAATTGTTTAAAATTTACAAGTAAATTAATCCATATTTGCTTAGTGGTCATAATTGTTAATTATTCCAATTAGTTATTCATTAATGTAGATGGATAGAAACCAACTCACTTTTTTTGTAACCACCTTGTACTTGAATTCTCCTCCTCAATATATCGAAAACCAATGTGTTTTTTATTGTTGAGTTCTCTTTACTTATTGCCAAAGAACTATTTATTTTAGACAATTTTTAGAATTTTTTAAGGTATTTTTGACACTATGACAATCTTCAAAGAATACACAGTAAAATTTCAAAAGTGGTAAAGTTCTTGAAGGAAATAAAGTTTTAAGGATAACAAATAAGTGTTATTGACCTTACATTGTATAAAAATATTTTCAATTTGTAAAGTTTTACTCATTAATTTCGTGGTCCGCTTGACCAATCAATATATCACAATCAATTAAGGTTTTTAGTTGAGATAAAAAAGTCAATGGCACGAACTTTTCATGTGAAAGTGTCTGGGATTCGAACCCAGAACCGCTAGTTTGGCAAATACTAGTCGTCCATCTTAACTCTTCGATCACCTCCCTCTTTTATTATTATATTAATGCACAATATACCGTACAGATCATTTATATAGGTAGATTATTAGATTTAGTGGTCCGATTGACCAAATAACATCTTTCAATTAATTAATCTTTATGTAAGGTATGGGTTGAAATAAAAAAGTCAGCTTCGCAAGCGGGATTCGAACCCACGATCTTCGGCTTGATACGCCACTGCTCTACCACTTGAGCTATCGTGACCTCGATTCACTCGGACACCAACCTCCCATCTCAACCCAAGTTTTATGTTGATTATTGTCCGTTAAAACGTTGTTGTTGTTGATATTTGAAAACGTCTAGGGCCTGTACTTTTTTCTTTGTTTACATTGTACTTCTGTTGTTTTATTCTGGATTTGAGAAAATTTTTTGATTGTTGTTGTACCTCAGACCTTTTCGTCAGCTATTTTGATATGATTGATTGATTTTGAACTGAATACATTCTGTTTTAATGATTTTCTGTGCATATTCTGTCAATCCTAACCAGTGATAATGTAAAACTTCGGTATTTTTGTGGTAAGGAAACATTTTTATATTCATTTAATAAATTTTATTATGGTTTGTGAGTTTGCCATCTAATAATTTTCGCTTATTTTCCCTTATCCCCGTGTTTCATCAGTTTTTTCATTTTTCTAGGCCAAAGTGAAATTCGGTGGGCCAGCGATGACCTCCTTTGATCAAACTTTAATTACGCCTTCTTTTTAATTACAAGCTTTTCACGAAGGAGTAAAATCGTTAACGTTTATTAGCCAAAACATCCGGCTATAACGATTACAAATATATTGTAGATTCCAATTAATTATTCTTTTTATCTAAGGTTTTTGATCGAGATGAAAAATTTGTGACGAGAGCGGGATACGAACCCACGACCTTCGGTTCAAAACGCCGCTGCTCTCTTGAGCTATCGTGACTTGGATACGCTAATTTTTCATCCCAACAAAACCTTACAAAACATTTTTATACAATGTGTAAGGTCAATAACATTTAATACATAAAAAAGTTTGTGTGTGGTGATTAGTGACCTTATTTGATGGTTATTCAGAAATCGTGAAATGCGGTCGGGTGTGATGTAGGTTTCAGAAAAACATTTTCTTTATCGTGCCAACGTTTCAATCTTTATTGAGATCATTTTCAGGGCCTGGGATTTACAAACATTGTTCAAATTTACCAAAACCATGTACGATGTGGAAAAAAGTGAATTTATACAATGCAAAAAAATATTTTTTATATTCAATCAAAGTGAGTGAGTAGAAATACTTTCATTGAATATTAAAAAAATATTTTTTATATTTAAACAAAAACATGTAGGATGTGGAAAAAAGTTAATTTATACAATGCAAAAAAATATTTTTTATATTCAATCAAAGTGAGTAAGTAGAAATACTTTGATTGAATATAAAAAAAAAATTACATTGTATAAATTCACTTTTTTCCACATCCTAAATGTTTTTGGTAAATTTAAACAATGTTTGTAAATCCAGGCCCTGAAGATGATCTCAATAAAGATCGAAACGTTGGCACGATAAAATGCCAACCAAAAGAAAATGATTTTCTGAAACCTACATCACACCAGACCGCATCTTACGATTTCTGAATAATCAAATAAAAAAGGTTAAATGAGAGTATCGAACAAATCTATTCTAATAGCATTAATTTTTATAAAACTACACTCCAAAGGGAAAACTAGTTGAAAAGAAACGGATATTTAATTATATTAAAAGCCACTTTATTTCCTTCACGTACTTTACCACTTTTCAAATTTAATTGTGTATTCCGTGAAGTTTGTCAAACAAATATCTAAAAAAATTCTAAATATTGTCTAAAATAAATAGTTCTTAGGCAATAAGTAAAGAGAACTCAACAATAAAAAACATTAATTTTCGGTATATTGAGGGAGGGCGAAATGCCGGTGTTTTTGAAAAAAAAAAATTGTATGTCGGGTCTGAATAAGCCGCTGGATTCGAACCCGGGACCTCTTACCTTAAGTCATGAACGTCGTGTCAACGCCTAAACCGTTGCGGCCACCGTCGCCCCGGTATTATTAGTATTAATTTCCAAAAATATATGAATTTAAAATATTAAAAATCTAGCATAAACCAACTAACTGTTTGTTATTAAATCAATTGTATTTTAAAATAAATGTTTGGTGATGATGGAGTCTAAGAAGTGAGGGTTTTTGTTCCCCAAGCCACTGCAACCTCCGGCCTTATTGTACTTTCTTAGTCCTTAGTTTAGTGCAATCGACTCGATCCTTCTACTGAGGAGGTCATCGAATGCTGTTGCTACAATTTCTTTCCCTGGGTTTTCTTTGTATCCCAGGTTACTTCTCCAATGAGCGATTACTTCGCATTTGACATGATGTGGGCTGTTGCTTCCTTTTCATTGCATAAACTAACACTGGTCATCATTGATTACATGTTGTACATTATTTCTCATGTATCATTTCATATGACATTGACCGCTAGATGATCACTATCACTATACTGCGTTCGACCTTCTGTAACTGTAGGGTTGTACGTTTGTTTTACACTAAGCTTACTCTGCCTAGCACTTCGAGGTTTGTTCATTTCTTCTTTTGTCATTTTTTGATCAGTTCTCTGGTGGTGGATTTTAAGTTTGTTTTTGTTATCACAGCTATTATTTCAGATATGATATTGCTGAACCCTCTCCAATTAATGTGTCTGTATTTTCGTTACCCAAAATTCCCTTGTGTCCTTTTAACCAATCTTCTGTTTCCTGTTTTGTTTCCCCAGGTTTTGGAGATTTTCGATGTATACAATGAATGTTGTCGATGTGATTTTTTTACACGCTAATGCTTTTTACCCTATCTTATGGGGAATTTTGTCAGTGGAACCTCTTTTAAGATTTTCTTACGCATAACCGTTGATGGCATGTTGATATGTACTTCCTTAATGAGTTTAAACAAATGTTTAATATTTTGAATATCGTCGTTGTTTTTTTTTAGTTTAAAAAGTTGAAAGTAACTCTTGGTTTTGTGTTCGGTATGATCAGTGATTGAGCATTGTTGTTTATTATGTTCGGTAAATGAGAAAGGATGAGTCCACTACTAATTAGCACGGAGGAATTATGTTTTCTGCAAATCCAAGAGAGTTCAGGCAGAGCATGTATATCAGCATAAAACACGGTTCATCATAACTTTGCAAAATTTGTAAAAACATTTATAAATATTAAACAAAATTTATTGTAACCTTTATAAACTTTATAACTATAAATCCGTCGGGGAAGAGTAATTATTTGCTGAAGTAGGGAAGAGGGTCATGTTAATCCTTACAAGGAGGTAAATTCAATTTATTGAACAGATCTTTAAATATCATTCCTTGTTGAGACAGGGAAAATATCGCCAGATTCTAAATCCGGTTATTTAATCCTCGTTTAATGGTCAAACATGCCATCATAGTGCTCACTATAGAACGATTTAAAAGTATAAAATGCTAGTTCTGTTGACCGGAAATTGGTCCCCCTGACTTTTACTTCTCACGGATTTTTAATTGCGCGTAATCTTTTAAGCCCTTATTGATAAAAACTACCCCCATAACGAAAGAGATTAAACCAATTAAGAACCCCCGTACTGCCAGTTGGAAACAACCGACTCACAGATGCGGGCGTCCGTTTCGTTTAGGGTCGATTTACTAAGGATAAATGAACCGACTAACCTGCTTGAGTTGGGTCGCCTTGTGTTCGATGGCGAACTGTAGTTCCAGACAGTTGAGGTACAGGAACTGCCAACGGCGTTCGATCCCTTCGGCGAACTTGGCCGCCTCGGAGGCTTCGACCCTCCGTCCTCGGACCCAAGAGCTGATCGACTCCTCGCACTCGCCGACAGATAACCGCTCGCACAGCCGCAGAACCGATCGAACGATCCGTCCGTGTGACCAGATTTCCCTTCTTATGGCCTAGAACAAATAAATACATATATATAAATTAAAAAAACATAGGTAAAATAAAGTAATTCATGTCATACAGCAGGTTTTGACAGTGCGACAACCCTTTGGGTGTCACATTATAATAAGTTATTTAAATTAATCATTATTTTTATGACATTTCTTGGTTGAGATGAAAAAGTAAGCGTCAAGAGCGGGATGCGAACCCAGCCGAAGGTCGTAAATAAAGGTAAAATAAAGTAATTCATGTCATACAGCAGGTCTTGACAGTGCGACAACTCTTTGGGTGTCACATTACAATAAGTTATTTAAATTAATCATTATTTTTATGATATTTCTTGGTTGAAATGAAAAAGTTAGCGTCACGAGCGGGATTTGAACCAACGACCTTCGGCTAAATACGCCGCTGCTCTACCACTTTATCACGATAGCTCAAGTGGTAGAGCAGAGGCGTATTTAGCTGCAGGTCGTGGGTTCGAATCCCGCTCGTGGCACGAACTTTTTCATTTCAACCAAGACCTTACATAAAAAGAATAATTAATTGAAATGAGTAATTTGGTCAATTAGACCACTAAACATAGATGGATTATAATAAGTTTTTGATATTCTCTATTAAAATTCCAAGTCTATGGTAGGATTTGAACCCAGAACCTCGGGCGTGGCGCGTATGAGTCCGATTCCCTATCCATTCGACCAGGTTCAAGGATAAAGCAAAATAGATAAACGAAACTGTCATTGCTATCCAAGTCTTCACAGCATCGTGATTTTACAACCCGGACATCACCCCAGCGTGACTTTGTAACCCGGACATCGTCTCTCCATACCGGGTCTAAAAGTCTATAAACGTTTATGACGTTATCCGTCTAAAAGCGGTTTTTGAATTATTCGGACCACCTCCCAATTTAATGCCGGCAATGGGCTACTTTTAAGTTTCGCAATCTCATCGGCATCCGCAATACTTTGCGAGAGATTCGCCGCCCTGCGGATCGTTGACCCGAAGGCCAGGAGCCCTCGGGCATACGATAATGCCGTGAAATCAAAGCTATGAGAAAAATTTTCGCTATGGAAATCTCAAGGTTTATATTTTCTTGGCGAGCGATTGTTTTTGCGATCTGAAGTCCAAAAAACAGTAATTTCCAAAGATGAATTGGCCCAAACTGGGCAATACGATTATTCTAGATAGATCGTGAATTACTGCTCTATAAAGGTACTTCTTGTGAACCTCAAAACAATAAGATTGCCTTTAGTGTTATCAGCTCCTGATATTTAATGAGTGAGAGAGTGAGAGAGAAAGAGAGAGAGAGAGAGAGAGAGAGAGAGAGAGAAGAAAATAATACCTTTAAACAAAAAAATCATGTGTACTACATATGTGCTTAAGATGCATGTGCTCTCTCCTCTCTCTCTGGAGCTGATACTACGCATGACTGGTAATCTGAATGACAGATTAAGTTGAAAGAAGGACATCGAATTGCAAGTTAAATCAGTAAGTGGAAGGTAGGATTCTCGCATTAGAACTTGGTAAACCTAATAAAAATGACATACCCTTATTTGATAAGGTCCGGAAAAATATACAGTTTGGGCTTTGGCAAATTTACATTTTGCGGAACAAATGTGAAAGTGGTCTACTACTAAAGGTCTGACGAGGTGCATATGCCAATGTGAAAGATCAGATAGGCAAAACACAAACAAAGAATTGTTAGAATTCAAGGGGAGAATAAAACACTCGCTTCGAATTAAAAAAAACAAACAATATTTTACCAAGTTTTTTATAGAAGGAAATTTAGGGGGAAATAAAATAGATAAATGTAAAACTTTAAATTCTAATTAATTAAGGTTTTTAGTTGAGATAAAAAAAGTCAGTGTCTCGAGCGGGATTCGAACCCACGACCTTCGGCTTCATACGCCGCTACTCTAACACTTGAGCTATCGTGACCTCGATCCACTCGGACACCAACTCCCTATCTCAACCGCACCTTTTGAATTTTTCCTCCTTTCTGCCATTTTTCAATTGTCGTGTAACCGGATTGGATTCTCGGCGGCAAGTGAAATGGCCACGGAGAGCTTTAGTGAAGTATACTTCATTTTAATTCATTAAATTCACTATATTTTCTGGTCCGCTTGACCAATTAATAACATTCAATTAATTAAGGTTTTAAGTTGAGATAAAATTTAATCTTAAATTAATTAATAATGATTGGTTCGCCGAGAATCAAATAGATTACATGACATTTGAAAAATGGCAAAAAGGAGGGAAAATTCAATAGGTGGGGTTGAAATGGTCTCATAAACGTCCAAAAGGCTTAAAAATGTGCTTTATTTTAAGAAAAAAATCAAAACAAATTAAGGCAATTAGGCACAACTCAATATTTAATTTAACTAGCTCTATCGAATCCCCAAAACTTGTTTTACGTTCATTCTTTCATTCATTTCATTCAAACAAAGTAGAGGCAAGTAGCCCTAAAGTAGGAATTCATCAGGGCGAGACTTCCCAAACTGGGGTCCGCGACGAACTTCGACAAAAAATAAAAATTAATTACAAATTAAACTTTTTATGTATGGTATTGATTGAAATGATAAAGTTAGTGTCACGAGCGGGATTCGAACCCACGACCTTCGGCTAAATACACCGCTGCTCTACCAATTTGTCACGATAGCTCAAGTGGTACAGGAGCGGCGTATTTAGCCGCAGGTCTTGGGTTCGAATCCCGCTCGTGGCACGAACTTTTTCATTTCAACCAAAAACTTACATAAAAAGATTAATTAATTGAAAGAAGTAATTTGATCAATCGGTCCACGAAATATAATAAAAATTATAAAAATAAACGGAGAATGAATGGTTTTTATTTTCCAGCGGCAGACATGTTTAGCTATGAAACCATTGCCAGCCTCTTTCTAGTTTTGGATGAGTCTGTTCAAATTGTTAATTATATCAAGTCGCGGCTATTGAAGTCATGACTTTTCTCAATGGTGTCGATATCATCATTCCCAGCTTGACCATACAGAACCCAGGTGGCTGCCTTGTGCAAAGCACTTCACGATTACAGATATGACGCTATTAAATCTTATCTCCGTTAATGGAACACTATTTCAAATTGGCCTACCTTTTCAATGATCAGAAATGGCAAGGTGTGCTGTCGTATTTATAAAATATATTCATAAAAATAAATAAAATGAATCTTTCGTGGCATGGTAAAAACATCACGATTTTCGACGCTAATGACAAATTTCATGGATTCAAAAGAAAAATTCAGATTTGGGTTGAATCTTTTGAGAAGGAAGAGATGGAATGTTCTGCGCTAAATGATTTTTTTTAAAGAAAACAAACTGGAACTTGCGAATTTGATGAAATATGTGAACGAGTTTTATAGTTGCGAGATGTCCTTTCAGTATTAGTTCCCAACAATCCTGCACGACCATTAATGAGTGGTCAAGCCGTTTTCAATTTCGTCAATACCAACCAATCTATATTATCTATCTATCTGGCTCCGTCCGGAAAAACAAAAAATTTGACCTCTCGTGGAAAAGGCAAACGTGTCACAACTTACATATGCGAATCTGGAGTTCCTATGTATACAGCCACCGAAGCTGTCCAGATGCTAAACCCTTAGTCTCAAATTTTACATACCTATTGATTCCGTGCTGACCGTTCTTTTTGTGCTTCGGATGTTCTAAATAAAATTTAGAATGGCAATCTAGTTTTCATACCGACATCCCTCTCCACCACCTAACTAGAAATGGATTGGCTAATGCTAATTTCTAAAACTTTCATTTACTACGTATAAGTATCTAATTTTAAATGCTTGAATGCGAGGGGTCCGCCCTGAATTTTGTTCTATGAAAGGGGTCAGCTGGTTAAAATGTTTGGGAAGCCCTGCTCTTGAGTACCTATAGCACCAACTTTCATTCTATTGTTGAAATAAGAAAATTGTTGATTTACAATTTAATTTTTAGTTTAAACATGTCGTTATAATTCTAATCTCGATGTATATGTCATCTGATTATATACTTATAAAAAAAATAATGTTGGTGTAAAAAAAACCTTATCAAAAGTTATGTCGCTATGTCCAGGAATATACCGGCGCAGCATTCTTTAAGTTGTAAAGAGGTAGCGATGACTGCTACACCGTACAGTTTCAAATACAAAAATACAACTGATGGTTGGGTGGACGGACAGAGATTAAGCAAGATAATCTGGATGGAGGAGTTTAAAGAGCAGTTCTGCAGTATATTGCTTGGTTGATGGATCAATTTTATGACAATTTCCACCGAGTATAGAAGTAAATTTAATATAGTAAAAAGTAGTTACAGTAGTGTAGAAGTGCCAATGATCTTTCTGTTTAGGCCAACGGCCGACGTCGAAAAATCGATATATTCATCCGTTACGGACACTATTAGCTTCCAGCGGAAATAAAAACAGTTTCGAATCGATACCCGATTACAGCCGTGGCGTTACGGAACGGCCGGGGGATGTCATAAGAATCGAACTTTAACTACGGGAAAATGGAGGGCAGCCCCGGCACGTGGGCCAGGCCGGTTCGCCCACTACTCTCGCAAAACAAAAGCTCGGAGTACTTTCTCATATAAAAAACATAAAACACGGATTCAACGATTTATTGTCGATAGCGATAATTCAAACAACATAGAGATTCACGCCATCAAAACACAGCCGGTTAAAAAAAAGAATCAAAGCAAATAATTTTAAACCAAAACAAATCATAGGCCACATAAAATCTCGCTATAATAAGGACCTCGTATAAATATTGAAGCACACATAAAATCATTTACCATCACAACAATTTGCAGTGAAGGGAGCGATGTAGAGGAGGAGAGATCGCATATAGTTAAATTATCTATTATACTTCTTAAAAATATATACAGGGTGTATCAATTTCTATCCATTCAATTGGGAAACGATTAACTTTAGCAAAAATGGTCTTATCCCAAGTTAATTTTGGCTAGGAATCGCAAAGTGGTTAATAGATTTAACATAACTTTCTCATCTAGAAATGTGT